AAAGACTTCCAAAATATCTCCAAGGCTACAAACTGTGAGTTAAGCAAAGCTCAGGTGAAAAATAAGCGAATGGAGTCTTGGTAGTAATTGGAAGCACCTAAGTTTGAAGCGCGGGGGGTGGAGATTTCAAGCCCCCCCCCCCACATGAGTAAACTGTAAAAACGGTTTTAAAGTGAAAATGAAGACACTTTGCCAAACCAAACATATAAGAAGTTAAGCTAACACAAAAGCTGCTAAAATATACGAAGCGGAATTAAAACGCATAACTTTTGTCTTGTTTTGGAAAACTTACTTCTTGTTGATATTATGGCTGGGAGAGGACGGAGAGTGCCGGAGAAAAATCTGGTAACCGGAAATAACATACCAACGACTCCCTCCCAGAACCAGGAAGCATCTACAGACTTCTCTTCGATGTTAGCAAATGCAGTGCGCCCTCTAATGGATTAGATGACTACTCTCAACACCAAACTAGATAATGTGCAAAAACAATTAAAGCAGATGGACAAGAGAACCACAGCAACCGAGAAAACGTTGAAAAAGATGGAAAAACAGACTATTAATAAAAGAGTGGATGAAGCAGAAAAGGAGAGATCCTCGGATAAAACCCAACTAATACAGCTCCAGCTGGAAAGATCCATGTATGTTCTACCTGAGTTCTATCCATTGAATACCTGAGGATAAGAATGAGGACTTTAAGGAACTCTTGGTGGTTGCCTTGGCCCCACTAATGGATTATAAACAAGAAGACTTAATTAAGGAAATGGATGTGGCATACAGGACTTATCCGGATTTTATAAAGAAAAATAAACTTCCAGGGGAAACTTACTTAAAATTCACAAAAATCAACAATGGGAAAGTCAACAATGGGAAAATCCTTAAAAATCAAGAATGAAGAGAGAGAAATTTTGAAAGACATCCCATCTGAAGTAAGAAAACGGAGGAAACTATACAGGATGCTTACTCTCTCCCTGCAAAAAAAGGGAACACCGTATAGATGGCTATTCCCGGAAGGGTTGAGTTTTAATTACCAGGATACAAAATTTAAAATTGACTCTGTTCCAAAAGTGGAAAGATTTATGGATCAAATGTTTAATGTAAAAAAGCAGCAGAAGGAAAAGAATTTAAAACTGGATGTGGAGGAAGAAGAAGAGGAGCCCTACTCACAGGACTCAACAAGCCAAACTTCCTCGTCATCAGAATCATCTGAATCGGAGAAAGGAGAGGGTGCTCCCAAACTGCAGAAAATGAAGAAATCTAAGAAGAAAAGTTCTCCAGTCCTCACCTGGAGATTGGCAGTGATGGTTCCCCAGAAGGGAATAGTTGGTTTGGAGGGTGGAGTCTATGTCTTTGTACTTGTCCGAGGTCTCACGCCTCCTGAAACCTCACCCTCTCCAGGCTCGATCCCGCACATCTCCAGGAATTTCCCACCTGGAGTTGGCAACTCTATCTCCTTCCCAGCCAATCATCAACCTACCTTTATTTCCCCCTCACTCTTCAGCTTTCCACCCCCCACACACCTGCAGCCTCTCCCATGCTCTGAAGCCCTGACTGCTACGTCATATTGGCTGTCATACGGGGCCCACCTCAACAGCATATAAGGATACAGAGCCCACCATTTTCTCCAGGGGAACTGATCTCTGCCATCTGGAAAGTAGTTGTAATTCTGAGTGATCTCCAGCCCTCACCTGGAGATTGGACACATTTTACCTCAGAAGAGCAAACTGTTTAGAATGTTAGAGGCAAAAGCCAATCAAGTCGCATATGCAGACGACCTCTGTGTTCCGAGGCGAAGGCCAATGAGGCTGCATTTGCAAATAACCTCTGTTCTGACTGGCTATGGGGGGGAGAGGAACAGCAAACTGTTGGAGGGGAGACTCAAGCAATGCAGCCAGTGGATAGGGACAGATTCTGAGTGACACACCAGGGTGCCAACCAATTCTGGAGCGTGTGGAATGTTCTAGTGACGTGCCACCACCATTTGGCTTTTATATATAAGGGAGATATGGAAATAGAAATGTTGAGGATTGATGGCAGTTTAAAAGAAGAGTGTAGACTTGACATTTAGATGTAGCATACACATCACTTTCCCCAGAAACATGATTCACTGGGACATGGTGCATTAAACTGAACTGTTCTTTGGTATATTAAATTGTCATTAATTCTGGTCAGTCTGCAGACATACTGAAGACATACTGATATTTAAAATTGTGATGGGAGATTAAAGGCTGTGCTAATAATAGTAACTCAGTTTACTGGTAAGGGCATTAAATGGTGACTGTGGTTCTCTAGGAACTAATGGAATGCTAGCCTTGATTCTCTGTAATTTCCGGAAAGCAAGGGAACTTTGACACCTTCCCACTTCCTATTATGATGATGCAGCAAGCACAGTGGTTCACTAACTCTTCCAATGAGGTAGTTAGTTGTTCATTCAGAAACATAACATTTCCTTTTGATGATTGATTAAAGGGGGGAAGTGTAAAATGGTTTAAGGATGTAGCATACATTTTGGACAAAGCTTTTATGAATAACTTGTTTTAGGAAGATTTACATAGTGTTTTAAGGTGTTCTACGGTTATTTCAGTGACACCCTTCAAAAATAAGTGCACATTTTTCCTAACATGAAAATGATAGAATCTTATTGTCAAAAGACAAAGAGAAATCAATTTTTTTCTGATTTCCCATAACTGTTTTTTTATTATTTTAATTTGTGAGTTGTTGAAGGTATCAGTTTTAACTGATTTGGCCTACAGAGTGGTGTTTGGGCATCTATTATGTATGGCAATTTGCCTTGAATAATAAATAAAAGATTATTAGAACAATTAGCGAAACCCTTTCTGGTTTAGAATTTTTTTCTCTTCAGAGTTACTTTGATTTACCAGGTGTCACTGGAAAAATAGTTTTGAACAGGAGCAAGTTGAGATAACATCAAGAAATGATATCCCAAATGATATCATTCCACAGAAATATTAGTAGATCAAATGCAGTAAGTCTTCAAAAATGGAAAAGTGTCCTTCCCAAATTATGTACCTGATTCTAAATTAATGTGCTACATTTGCTGGCCTTCTGTGTTGTGAATTTCACAGAGTTCTGTAGACAGAAGGAAAGAAGAATGGAACAGAATAGAAATTCATTAATGAAATTAATTAATTATTAAGTAGGAAGTTAATTATTACTTAACTAGGAAATTCATTCATCTGGCAGGTGAGCCAAAATCCTCATATCTTTTAGCTAGATATTTTAGAAAACAATTCTAACAATTGCTTCATTAGTAGAATTTTATGTATTTTTCATGTGCAGACTAGCACTGATGCTGAACAGTGGGATATCAAAATAATGAATATAAGCCTAGGGTATAAACCTCTTTCCCGTCCAATATTAGAAAATAGTGGTTACATTAACACAAAACATGCTTCAGTGTAGATTAAAAACTGGTAAATACCACAAGGATTATTAAATGCTGCTTTATATATCCTTATAGCTTTCCAAACATTGTTCATCCACACTTTTACACAGGCAAATGATCAGCTACTTTGACAAGATGCATAGAGATGAGGTTCCTGCATACCTGCTGAGAGAATCAAGTTCCAGTGAAAAAACAGTAGCCTGAAGAAGGTGCATAAATGTTCAATGGATTATCAATTTAAAAGCCATAATTTCTGTGATGCTGTCTATCTTCAGCCTCTAAGAAAGAATATATTGAATATTAAATGTGAGCCTGTGAGAGCTCAGTCGTAAACGGGTCTACTCAGAAGTAACACCCATTTAATTTTATGAGGTTTACTCCTAGGAAAGTGTTGGTAGCATTACAACTTAAAACAGCAGTTCTAAAAACTCTAATTTGGGAGCAAGTCCCATGGTACTAAACATAGGATTTACTTCTGAATAAGCATGCTGAGGATCCCCCATGCTCATCTTACTGACTATCATGTGACAAACTGCGAGATTACCAGGCAATTTCTCTTCAGATATTGCTGGTAGAGTTCATTAAACTGGCGTAATTATACTGTTCAGTGCTGCAGGAAATGGCCTGTTTTTTCAGATTTTCTGTGAACTAGCTGTTCTTAGACTTGCTTAACTCTGTATAATTTTGCATAAACTGCAAAAAGAATCTGAGAAAACTTTGTATTGAGGGGGTTTTTAACCCATACAATGCTCTTCCTCACATGGCATAATATTCATTCTACCTAAATTTAACTCATTGCAGTCCTAAACAGTTACCCATCTAAGCACTGCAAGTTGATTAGAAGGTAATGTAGATGTAGTTTACAGTAAAGTCTGCATTCCACAAAACCTCTTATTCCAGAATTCTGTCCCTAAACTGTTTTTCCCCACATTTTTACTTGTAGAGTAGCTTGTGAGAAAGATACATATTTCTAAGCACGTGTACATGCCATGAAAAGCCACAGTTAATCCCTGTAACCTATATATTCTCAGTCTCCCCCAAAAGGGGAGGGAATATTGCTCTTACACATTATGTGCACTTCACATTTCTTGCTAATTTTGTAGTATTGTTTTTCAAAACTGGTCTGCAACTCTGAACAAACTTAGCTGCAACTAAACTCCACTGAAAGCCCTCTTTCTAGGAGAACAATTTATTTATTTTATTTATTATTCACATTTCTATCCCGCCCTCCCCGGGATATATTCATATATGAAACCCTGTGCAATTCAAGAGTGTATATGTACACATGAATCTGTGTAGTGTTCTGAAAGAATAATAAGTAGAAATGAAGTATTCACTGCTGCTGTCTGTAAAAGCCACTTGGAGATCTTTCGGAGAAAATTGTGGGGGGATGTTTTTAAACAAAACATCAAAGAATTAATGTGGTTCAGGAGGACCCTCATACTGGATTTTCCGCATGGCTGTAAACAGCATGATATTGTCAACGAATTTGTTTGGAAAGACTTAACTCAGGAAATTGTTCAAAAACACAATCAGTACAGTGTATTATAAAACACAAGCATATGTTCAGAGTAGAAATTGTATCTTTTTTTTTTACCTTCATCAGCCACTGAGTGTTATTTTCCAGGATATTTTCCAGCAGCTGCAGCTTCTGTGTAGAATCGTCATAATCTAGGGGTGCATCCCTCTGTACAGCATTAGGAACATAAGTGGTAGAAGAAGACCGGCAATTGTCCATCTCGGGCAGAAGAAAAGTATAGCTACATGATCCATGCTGGACTTGGTACTGCTTCTTGCCTAGAGCTTCTATGCTTTTCTGAAAGGAGTTGTATCCTGAAGCTAGAACAAGACTGCAGCTCAGAATAGAATAAATAGGTAGCCACATTTTGACTCCTGCAAATCAGCAGCTGTCAGACGTTGAATGTTGTTGAAGAACTCAGGTTATCTATGTAGTCTTGTGTGGCAATCAGTGTCCCTCTGTGATGTGTCAGTCTGGCAAAAGAGTCCTGGTTCCTGGTTGTGTCTCTGAAGTAGCAGCAACGGTGGTTATCTTCTGTTCAGCTGTGCAGCAGACTGTCACATGCAGATCTGTCTCAGCTGCCGAGAGAGCTGTCTCCCATATCCAGCTTTCATGCTTTGTGTTAGAGGTTGGTTTTTTTAGAGAGCAGCGTAGTGCTTTGCTATCTGAATTAGTCACTGTTCTTCAGATGTGTTGATAAGAGGAGTTAAGCATGTATAGCTAAATACCCCTCCCTCCTGGTTTATCCGTTATCTTCCTCTAGAGGGGGTTCCATTCAAGGAAGCACAGAAATCAGAGCATGTTGTTTGTTCAGGAAACCTTTCTAGGAAAAATGGATCAATTAGAGGACTGCTGTGAATTTCATATGTACCTTCCCAGTTAGGGATCTCCAAGACAGTTTCAATAGTTAGTCCTTGAAAATTTCATTTTAAGACTTTTTAATTTTAGCTAAGTACTTAGCTGTTATTTTTTATAGTTTTTAAAGTACAGTCACATAAATTCCTTTCCTTACTGCTGGAGAGATGGGAAAAGCAACTTTCAGATTAATTTTACGCTAACAATGTGTGATTTATTTAGTACTAGGAATAAGGCTCGTTGTGGAAATAAATACAAGCTCTAGAAGGAGGCTCTGGCCAGGTGCCCTGGCCTTAAGCACTCAGTATCAATTTCCTGTGGCAACCTCAGCAGGGTATAATGACACAGAGTCCACCATTTTCTCCAGAGGAACTGATCTCTGCTCCCTGAATAACAGTTGTAATTTTGAGTGATCTCCAGCCCTCAACAGGAGATTGGCAACAATGGTTCCCCAGGAAGGAATGGCTGGTTTGGAGGGTGGAGTCTATGGCATTGTACCTGTCTGAGGTCCCACCCCTCCTCAAATGCCACCCTCTCCAGGCTCCACCCCTCAAATCTCCAGGAATTCTCCAACCTGGAGTTGGTAACCCTATCTCCTTCCCAGCCAACCATCAACCTACCATGATCTGCCCCTCCAACTTCAGCTTTCCATCTCCTCCCCCCTCCCTCCTGGAGAGCAGTCGTAATTCTGAGTGATCTCCAGCCCCCACCTGGAGATTGGCAACAATGGTTCCCCATGAGGGACTGGCTGGTTTGGAGGGTGGAGTTTACGACATTGTACCTGTCTGAGGTCCCACCCCTCCTGAAACCTCACCCTCTCCAGGCTCCATCCCTCACATATCCAGGAATTTCCCACCTGGAGTTGGCAACCCTGTCTCCTTCCCAGCCAATCATCAACCTACCTTTATTTTCCCCTCACTCTTCAGCTTTCCAACCCACCACCTGCAGCTTCTACCGTGCTCTGAAGCCCTGACTGCTACGTCACATTGGCTGTCATACAGGAGCCATCTCAGCAGCATATAAGGATACAGAGCCCACCATTTTCTCCAGGGGAACTGATCTCTGCCATCTGGAAAGCAGTTGTAATTCTGAGTGATCTTTAGCCCTCACCTGGAGATTGGCAACAATGGTTTTCCCCAACAGGCACTAAGGGGAAATGTATTTTACCTCAGATCACATTTTACCTCAGAACAGCAACAGCAAACTGTTTAGAATGTTAGAGGCAAAGGCCAATGAGGCCGCATATGCAAACAAACTTTGTGTTCCAAGGCAAAGGCCAATCAGGGCACATATGCAAATGACCTCTGTGTTCTGACTGGCTATGGGGGGGGAGGAACAGCAAACTGTTTAGAATGTTGGAGGCAGGACTCGGGCAACGCAGCCAGTGGATAGGGAGACCCTCTGAGTGACAGATCAGGGAGCCAACTGATTTGGGAGCGTGTTGGAATGTTCAGGAAAGTCCATGACCAAAACAGAATTATATATGAGGAGAGATTTTCTGCAAATCAAGTTCTATTTCCCATCAAAGAAAGTATGCACTTCATACATGCGTTTATACCTCAGCTATAGATCCTGTAGAACAAACTATGTCCGTAGTCTCTGTACATCACACCTCTGGGATATAGTGCACCTGCACTGACCTCAATCAGTTCCTCTTGAAAGCGAAAGGGATTTTTGCGCCCGCTCCCCAGTCACGCACCGACCCCACTGCGCATGACCGAGGGGCACGACAATCCTGCCAGTTCTCTTTTGACAGCCGCGCTGGTAGGATCTTCTCCGCTTTGGTCAGTAAAAAATTTGGGCTTTTAGGCCTATTCCTCGTTTTCTTCTAAGTTTCTTCGTTTTCTTCTTGTCTATTTTTGTTAAGTGAAAGGACTTTGTTTCTACAGATTTATTTCCTTTTGGACTCTGCCATGTGTTTCCCCCTCTCTCCCGGCCTATGGCCAAGAGGTGAGGTTTCTTTAAAAGGTGCCTTAAGTGCGGCAGCAAGATCGCTCCCCCAGACTGACACTCGCTTTGTTTTTGGTGCCTCGGGGAATCACACCGAGTGAACTCTTGGGCTCATTGTGTGAAGTTTTCGACACAGACAAGGAAGAACAGATCTGCTAGACTTCGTGTTGCGCTTTTGGAGTTAGCGCTTTCACCAATGTCATCACAAGACACTTCAGGGCATGTGTCAATGTCGACTGCCGCCTCGGCATCGACGGCTGCACTGTCCCCGATATCAACTCACATAGATGTTGACCGCCCGATGCTGAAATGCTCTGCCCAGACATCTCAGTCCTTAGCCCATACTCCCTCCCAAAAATGCAGGGAAGGCAAGGATGATCGGCCAGTCAAACATAAAAAAGCATAAGAAAACTCCCCCTATGCAATCTCCGCTGACCCCCTTGGAGGGTCTCGGAACCGAATCCTATGGGGGCTGCTTCCCTTGACTTTTCGAGCTGAGAGCAGCCACAAGGTGTACCTCAGTCGCCTTCACTGCGTCCTATCCAGCTTACTGGCTCTGACCATGATATGGACTTGACACAGATCTCCTGGTCTTCCAGTGTTGAAAGTCTGCACTCAGACCGCGGAGCCGATGCATTTCCGACCTGATGATCGAGACCAACCATCGGCACCGATCCATCCGCCACCACCACTCTTCTGGGACCAACGGCAGTGGCAATACATGTATGGGGCCTATCCATTTACAGGCAGTATGCCATGGTTCCCACCCCAACCAATGGAGTGGGACCATCAGTCCACCTCTTCACGTATCTCCCAGTATCAAGATCCTCCATCGATGCTGGAGTTTGTGAGGCCCCAACCGTCGAGGCCGATGGGCAAACCTTCCAAGCTGTCGCACCCAACAGTTCCAAAGTTTAAAGAACCATTGAATCCGATTCCATTGATACTGATGTTACCTGTCTTTTTCCAAGCCATCTGCGCACTCCACCTCTTCAGGCGCTTCCTCCCGATCAGGGGATGAAAACCCTGATCCTCCGGTGGAACCTCGCCACCTCAACAACTGGGCAATGATCTTCCAATCTCCCCTTCGGAAGACTTGAAATCCTACGGAGATTTCATTAAGTGGATGGCTAACATGCTCACTCTGTCTACGGTAGAGCCCTCGCCTACTGTGACAGACTCTGTGTTCGATATCGTCCAGATGGACACCTCTACACCGATTGCCTTACCGATTACTTTGGTCCTCCTTCAGGCAGCTGAAGTCCCATGGTCTCACCTGGCATCTACACCCGTCTCGAGCCGGAGGGTAGATCATATGTATAAAGTGCAGGAGCAGGGTGCTGAATTTCTGTTTACCCACCCTAAACCTAATTCTTTCATAGTCACTTCTTCCTCCAAGGGCAGACACAGTCATTCCACCCCCTCTGAGAAAGAAGGAAGGAAACTTGATTCATTTGGAAGAAAATTTTATTCTGCGGGAGCTCTTGGTATCAAGACCTCGAACTATATAGCATGTATAGGGAGATATCAGTTTGCTCTTTGGGATGTCTGAATTTATTGCAACCCTCCCTGAGGACACTAACTGTCAGGCTCGCAGGATTCAGAAGGAGGGAATGCTTTTGGCTAAGCATCAGCTCAATGCAGCTAAGCACACATTGGATGCGGCTGCCAAAACACTGACTTCAGCAGTTACCCTCCAACGTCACGCCTGGTTGCATTCTACTGCCCTACCGCAGGACACCAGGACTCTCATTGAGGACCTTCCATTCGAAGGTGAGGGCCTTTTCAGTGCCACGACTGATACAGTCCTGCAAGACCTAAAGTATAAAGACGTCGTGAAATTTAGGAGCCATGTTGGCTCCTAAACTATCCAAAGCAAAATTCTGGAACAAGCCGTGGTTTCACAGATCCTCTCTTAAGTCGTCCCCAGAAACACAGTGGCAACGCTCACCCACTGTGTTTTCCCGCCTGTATGGGCACAAACCAAAATTCTCACCTGTCTCTCAGCCCAAGGCTAAGACTCCGAAAGCTTCCAAGCAGAGCCTTTGACTCCTGTCGTCCCACCCCTACCCGCCTGTCCCCTACTTGGCTGCTTGGCAGCGAATAACATCAGACCAGTGGGTACTGTCCGTCATCGAAAAGGGGTACCTCATAGAATTTATCTAGGTACCCAAGGCCCCCAACTTCATAATTATTCCACCATCAAATACGCTCCTGGAAGTTCCATTGAACTGTCGGAAGCCAGCTACATGCACTTCCTATGAAGGGGAGTGGAAGAAATTCCTGTCCTACCTCGAGTCATTGGGTTTACCACCGCCCCGTACGGACTTGAGGATAGTTTCCGAATTCTTGTTGACCCGGCTGGACCTGGGTCTTAGTTGCTCTTCTTTAAGAGTTTATTTAGCTGCCATTTCCGCCTTCTGAGGTGGATGTCTATTCCGTTTTTTCTCACCTGCAAACAAAGCAGTTTCTGAAGGACCTCACTCGCCTCTTTCCTCCGGCTCGTGGTCCAACTCCCTCCTGGGACTTACCTCTAGTGCTGTCTAGATTACTCTCCTTTCCTTTCCAGCTCCCTGGCAGTGCCTCCTTGTAGAAGGCTGCTGACTATAGGTATAACTTGAGCCTCAAATGTGAAAACCCTGGTAGAGTTTTTTTTAAAGATTTATTGAAGCACTGTATGTATTTTAAAAAATAGCAAAAAAGTGCAAGTAGTTGTTAATAGTTTAGAATGTACAAAACAATGACCAGTTTGCCTGGCCTTTGGTGACAGCAAGTATCACCCTGGGGTAATAGAATGAAAGGAAACCAGGCAAGAAAATAATAGTAAAGTCCTTAACACAATTATGTTAAACTTGTCGCTAGTTC